CCTTGTACTAGGATATTCCTTTCTACCTGACTGAGCCTCTTGAGCTTCCTTTGACTCTGACCTATCTTGTCCTTAAATGAGGAAGAGAAGTCTGGCTCAAGTTGCCACAGGTCTTACCCTGACTTTGAGAACTTGTGCGGAGATTTTGCCTTGTTCTTCCCCCTCCCTCAAATTCCCATTTTGTTCCCTTGTTGCAGTGTCCCTGTTGCCTGCTGTGGCCTGAATCTTAACACATATCAGAAATCTCAGGGGGCTGGAAGAGAATTTACAGACTATCTTGGCCCACTTGGTTATTTTGCTGATGGAGGCCAGGGACAGGAAGGAACTTGCTCAAGATCGTACTCTATGTTAAGTACATTCATGAATTTATTCAACATATACTATGTGCCAGACATTTTGCTAGGCACTGGATAGAGAAGGGTGAATAATATGTAGTTCCTAACAGTCTAGATAACCTTACAGTCTAGTGGAGAATTTACATAAACAGATAAATATTAGATTGGGTAAAAAAGGACCAGAGATGGGCAGAAGATGGAACTTAACCAGAATGAAGAGTATGAAAAAAACAGACAGAGGCAGGGCAAGGGGAGAGAGGAAGGGCTGAAGTCCTCTGTCCTCTTAAACCTCACAGCATTTATAAAAGGCTACATCTGTCTTGGAAGAAGTACAGCCAGAATGCTCCTTAGAAGTGAGGATGATGAGACTTCATCTCATGTACTTTGGACATGTTATCAGGAGGGACCAGTCCCTGGAAAAAGACGTCATGCTTGGTAAAGTAGAGGGTAAGTGGAAAAGAGAAAGACCCTCAAAGAGATGGATTGACACAGTTGCTGCAACAATGGGCTCAAACATAGCAATGATTGTGAGGTAAGTCTGTGAACTGGTTTGATGCATTCATACACCTGCTGAGAATTTGCATTTCTGCCCCAGATATACTGAATCACAATCTACATTTAAAAAAAAAAAACTTTTTTATTGTGCATTAGGTGAAAGTTTACAGAGCAAATTAGTTTTCTGTTCCACAGTTTTTACATAAACTATTCTATGACATTAGCTTCATTCCCCACAATGTGTCAGCACTCTCCCCATTTTTATCCTAGTTTTCCCATTTCCTTTCATCCCCATTTTCTGCCCTTCCTGCCTTCTCATCTTTGCTTTTGGGCAAATGTTGCCCTTTTGATCTCGTATAATTGATTGTTTTAAGGAGTACTTTCCTCTCGGGTATTATTGTTTAAGAATCTACAGTGTAACAAGATCTCCAGGTGATTCTTATGTATAATAAATTTTGAGAACCACTGCTCTCCTAGTGGTTCTCAGAATTGTTCCCTGAGCAGCAGCATTAGCATCACCTGCGAACGTCTTAGAAATGCAAATTATCAGCAGGGTTTCAAACCAGAACAAACCGGTTCAAAACCCTTTCGTGAGGATGGTGCAGGATCCAGCAACATTTTGTTCATAGAGTCCCTGTGAGTTGGAACTGACTTGAAGGCACCTAACAACAACGTTCATTCATTCAACCAAAATGTATTCAATATCTACTATCTTCAAACCTTTATGCCTAGTTTTGAAGTAACAAAGATGAGCTTAGTGTCTTAAAGACCAAATAATGTTATAAACTTCTATAAGTTGGCCTGCAAATGTCTGAACTCAACTCCCTGGCCAGTTAAGTACCCAGTTTGAAAGCAGTGGAAATTTGTTTCACAGTGAGATCACTATTGTGCAAACAGGCTGTAGTTCTGAGCCACAAGATAACTTGGCAGCAGCCTCATTGTTGTCAAGCTTGGCACAAGTTTCCACCTTCAGAGTTGACTCTATGTCCTTGGAATGGGCAGGTGGCATTTGTTCTTCCACAAGTCACTTGGCTAACCAGCCCCAAGTAGAGTCGACAGGTACTGGGCCCTTTAACCTTTCAGAACACAGCCTTTGCCTTTCATGGCCAGTTAATCAGGACTTGGTGAGTAGCTGCTCAAGGGTACATTCTGGAAGACATTGGTGGTCAGAGTGGAGTGGGGGCACAGGGCCAGTCTGGAGGGGGCCTGTGTTTCACACCCAGTCTCCATCTACTCTGTTCTAGCACAGGCAGACAGGACACCATACACTCCTGCAAATAAATTCTCTCTCCTTTCTGGGCTTGTGTAGTTCCCCAGGAGGCTGGTGTTTGTTTGTATGTGAAGAAGGGTTGATGATACAGTGAAACTGCTTTACACATACATTCCACACATGTAATGGCTTTAGAATCTAACTTCTCAGCCACCGCCCCACCACCAGTATTTCAAGGAAATGTTGCCCATATGTTTAGTAAGGTGGGGGTTAAGAATTAATTGTTGGGTTTAGCAATTTGGTCATTGGTGACCTTGACAAGAGTAGCTTCATTGGAGTGGTGGGGGCCAAAAACTAATTGAGATGGGCTCAAGAAATTATAGGCAACTCTTTTGAACAGCAAAAGTGGAATAGAGAACTGGAATAGAAATGGAGGAAGACATGGGATTACGAGTGGATTTTTTTTAAATGGAAGAAATTACAATAAATTTGTGTGCTGATGAGGATGGTCCAGGAGAGAGAAAAACTGATAAAACAGGAGAGAGAGGGAGGATATTGCTAGAGGGATACCCTTGAACAAGAAAGAGAAGAAGGAATTTTTAGCAGTATGCTAGAGCCAATGATTAAACACAGCTATTATTAAATTATATAAATTTATAATTAAATAAATTATATTAAAAACAAAGTAATACATATTCAAAACTCATCCCTTCCTAGTTATATTACTACATTTTACCATTACCTATGTTCTTGTGGTTACTTATGTCTATTGGGTCTGCATGGTGGAAGTACCATATAATGGTGGTGTTATCCAACTCCAAGTTCAGTGACATCCGTCACATTGGTAGCTAGAAATTGGCCGTGGTGGGAGTATTTACACCAAAGAAATTAGCAACCTTAGAAATTAGGGCCTTGTTTTTGCTTGTTTTTTAAAGTAGAGCTGTTTAATATTTACTAGGGTCCCTGTATGGTGCAAACAGTCAACTACTCACCTAAAGGTTGGCAATTTGAACCCATTTAGCAGCACCATGAAGAAAGGCCTGGAGATCTGCTTCGGTAAGGATTACAGCTAAGGAAACCCTATGGAGCAGTTCTACCCTATATCACATGGGGTCAGCATGAGGTGGAATCTACCCAATGGCAACGGATGTTTTTTGTTTGTTTAGTATTTGACAGCTCACCACTAGAATCAGTGGACAAGTGGAGAGAGTGGCCCTAACCAAGTGCTGACAATTAGCAACAGGTAGGAAGGCAGGGTATTTGGATGGATGGGTTCGATAGATGTGTTGGAGAGCTGTTTCCTATTTACTAAGTGAAAAAGGAAGGAAGGTAGTTACCTGTGAATAAGGATGGGAAAGGAAATGTTGGAGGTCTGAGGTGAGAGGAGTGTGGTACAGTGGTTAAATGGCTTAGAAAAATGTATGTATTTGCCTGACACCATTACAGGGCCTCTTGAGGTTAGTGGTTATGAATTTAAAAAGAGACCTGACACAGTGGGTGTATATTTTCCTCTAGCTTCTCTCAGCTGCTTGGGTGAGGCAGTGAAGATGAGGAGAACTGGATTTATTCAAAGCTAAGGTTGCCCTGGTGGCCTAGCAGTTAAGAACTACTGCTGCTCACCAAAAGGTCAGCAGTTCGAATCTACCAGCTACTCCTTGGAAACCCTATGGGGGCAGTTCTATCCTGTCCTGTAGGGTTGCTATAAGTCAGAACTGACTTGTTGGCAATGGCTTTGGTTTTTTTTTTTTATAGCCGTTGCCAGATCAATATGACTTTATATGGGAGGGGCAAGGGCAACTGTAAGATTATAAACATAAAAGTCACCACCTCAGAGAGATCTTTCTTTTCTACCCTAAATAAAACCATGCCCTGCTTCCTTGACTTTAACTCATTACCTTGTTCATTTTCCTATTTTGTTTATTGAGTGTTAAATCTCCTGGCTCGTCCATCATACATGAGAGCACCAACCAATGACTTTGAGTCCACTCGGGCTAATATTGACCCTATAGGTTTTCCAAGCCTGTAATCTTTACAGCAGACTGCCACGTCTTTCTCTGGCAGACTGGCTGCCAACTACTTTAACCACTGTGCCACCACGCTCCTACACATGAGAGCAGGAACCCTGTTTCATTCACTGTTGAATCTGTAGCTTCTACCACAGTGCTGGGCATATAGTAGGTGCTCAGTAATATATTCAATAGTTTATTGAATAAATGGATTAACTCGCTAGTTCTCTTAAAAATCTATGCTTTTGAATGAAGAATACTCAAATCCTGTCTGTATCCTTTTTTTAACCTTTAGTGAGCAAACAAATCTCCCTACAGAGGTGGATGCACTAAACCACGGTTCTTAATTTTCTGGACAGTCCTAGCGGATATGGTCACTTTTTACTGTCCTTGAGACCCAATCCTAAACCTCAGAGGCAGCTGCCCCACTGGGGTGAGTAATGGAATCGCCGGCCTTTGTCAGACTGGATTCAGCAACACTGAGAGGAGGGTTATATTACACCTCCTGTACTTTGAGGGCGAGTGGTTTATGTATATATTATTCATTTTAATGCTCCAACAGCGGCTTAGGGTATATTCCGTGATTCCAGGGTAGGTGATGACAATTAAGCAGAGGCCTAAAGTTCAAGGCTCCCAGCTAAGGGCGTCTTGTCTCGATGGCAGAGAAACTTCCGTCTGCGGGCGTGGCCGAGAAGTGGGGCGGGGAGGGGACCGGGATGGCTCCAGCCACAAGTCCTGCGAGCCCCCCGGGCGCGCTTCCGCCCAGCTCAGAAGCCCAGCGCGCCTCCCACGCCCCGCCGACCACAGAGGACTTTGTGGAAACAGAGCGGGGGGCGGGACCAATTGTCTGTTTCTTCGAGAGGACAATAAAGTTTCCGAAGTTTGAAAAAGCGGGAAAAAAAAAAAAAAAAAACCCACGCCCCTTTGGCTGTACGGGTGTGGACGCCTGCAGACCAGGGGCAGAGCTCTCGCGACCCGGCGCTCCCAGAGGCGTGGCCGGCCCGCAGGGGTCGCGGCAGCGCAGGGATGGGGGTCACGGTGGATGTGCACCAGGTGTACAAATACCCCTTCGAGCAAGTGGTCTCCAGCTTCCTCCGAAAGGTACCGGCCCCCCTTTGGCCCGTCCTGGCCTTGAGGCTTGCGTTTTCAGCGCGTTGCTTCCCCTGCCGCGGCCGTCTGCGCTCTGGCGTGCCCGCTTCTGCAGCTCATTCTTCACTTTTCTGTCCACTCGGAAATCCCGACTGACGTCCTCTCTCCAGTTGCGGGTTTCGCTTTAGGGATGCGTGAGGCGTGGATGGAAGTGGATTTCCTCGAAACCTCCCCGTCCGGGATAAGGGAAAAGACACCGTGCTTGGCGTCACGTTCCTACCTAGCTCCAACTGAAGGGAGAGGTCTTGGGGGAAAGCCTCAGGGGACACAAGGACCGGCAAGTTCTCGAGTTCTTTTGAGGTTGCAGATGCCTCTTTAGTCTTCCCAATATGTTTTTGACCTCTTAATAGCTAGTGGAGGCGGTTGAAACCATCTTTCTAGTTTATTTGGCAATATTATTCTACTGCTTCACCACTTTCTCTTTTATTAAACAGCTGTGGGACTTTGGGCCCATTACTTGAACCTCTGTGTGCCTTACTTTTGTAATCTGTAAAATGAGGAAAATAATAGCTCTGCTGTTGGCTGATTGATCTTGGCCAAGGGTCAGTTCCTCTCTAGGCCTCAATTTCCACATCTATAGGATGAAGGTGTTGTACCAGAAGATCTTTAAGTTCCCTTTCATCTTTAACATTCTTAAATGAGATTGCAGGAATTGCAATTTGCCTTGTGTAACAGCCACTGGACAATGCATTCCACAGGTGGAAGCTAGAAGCCAAACTAAAGAAGAAACTGGGGGAGGAAAGCCTTTTTTTAGGTGATAAGGCCTGATTTCCATTAGAGGAGATTGGGGGTCCAAGTTACAGAGGTGTGAGTAGGATGCTGGTTAACATGGTGATGTTATGGAGGCCTTTTGTGGGCAGGATGTCAGCTCTGTGAAAGAGGGAACTTGTTTATATTGTTCATCGATCCCCAATATCTAGAATAATGTCTAGCTCCTACTATGTACTCAGTAAAAATCTGATGAATGAATGAATGAATTAGGGACCTGGCATAAATTTTACCCTAAGTTGGTTCCGGCTCATAGCAGCCCTGTGTACAACAGAAAGAAACACTGCCCGGTCCTGTGCCATCCTCACAGTCGTTGCTATGTTTGAGCCCATTGTTGCAACCACTGTGTCAGTCCATCTTGTTGAGGGTCTTCCTCTTTTCTCACCAACCCTCTACCAAGCATGATGTCCTCCTCCAGGGATTGGTCCCTTTTGATAACCTGCCTAGAATACATGAGACGAAGTCTTGCCACCCTCACTTCTAAGGAGCATTCTGGCTGCACTTCTTCCAAGATAGATTTGTTTGTTCTTCTCGCAGTCCAAATTCTTCACCAACACCATAATTAAAATGCACAATTCTTCTTTGGCGTAGTGGTTAAGAGCTATGGCTGCTAACCAAAAGGTCGGCAGTTCAAATCCACCAGGCGCTCCTTGGAAACCCTATGGGGCAGTTCTACTCTGTCCTATAGGGTCGCTATGAGTTGGAATCAACTCAACAGCAATGGGTTTGCCTTTTGTTTTTTTAATTCATTGTCCAGCTTTCACATGCATATGAGGCAATTGAAAATACTGTGGTGTGGGTCAGGTGCACCTTAGTCCTCAAGGTGAGATCTTTGCTTTTTAACGCTTGAAAGAGGTCTTGCGGCATATTTTCCCAGTGCAGTACATCATTTGATTTCTTAACTGTTGCTTCCATGGGTGTTGGTTATGGAGCCAAGTAAAATGAAATCCTTGACAACTTTAATATTTTCTCTGTTTATCATGATGTTGCTTATTGGTCAAGTTGTGAGGATTTTTGTTTTATGTTGAGGTGTAATCCATACTGAAAGCTGTGGTCTTTGATCTTCATCAGTAAGTGCTTCAAGTCCTCTTCACTTCAGCAAGCAAGGTTGTGTCATCTGCATATCGCAGGTTGATAATGAGCCTTCCTTCAGTCAGGTTGCTGTGTTCTTCTTCATATAGTTCAGCTTCTCAGATTATTTGCTCAGCATACATAGGAATAGGTTTTGCCTCAGGCTAAGCTTCTAGGCCCCCAAAACAAACACCCAACACTCCATCTTTTGCTAGGATTGGCACTTTGGAATGTGGGTTGTCTAGCGCCACTGCTCCTTTGGAAGCCCTTTTGGATTGTCCTCATCAGGAGGTGATCTCTGCCTTCTCAGAAATTCCAGGGTTGACCACTCTTTATAGTGTCATAGAGTTACTTCTGTATGTGTCTTGCTCCCTCACTAGAATCTAAAGTTCTTCAGGCAGGACTCACTCTTGCAGAAGCACGGAGCACAATGCCAAGCTCTCATTTATAGAGCACTCACCATGTGTCTGCTTCTGGGCTAAGTGCTTTTCTTTCATTCAGCAGATGTTTTTAAACATTTTTTTTTTCCTGGATGTCAGGCCCTGTGCTAGATGCTAGAAATCAACGGCGGGCACACCAGACAGACCCTGTTCTCATGGAGCTGATAGCCTCTAGTGGGTGAGCCTGATGTTAATAAATTAGCAACAAGTGAACATATAATTCCAGTTGATGATGTGTACTTACAAAGGGAAAGTACATGATGCTGTGACTGAGTAAAACAGGGCGACCTGATGAAGTCCATGAAGGTGGTCATTAGGAAAGTCTCCCCAGAAGAAATGACGTTTATGGGGTGATGGCTGAAGCATGAATAGGAGTTTCCTAGGCAAGGAGAGGAGGAAGTGCTTTCCGTACATTATCATGTTTACTCTTGCTGGGAGCCTCAGCAAGTTAAAATTGACTTCCGTTTCACAATCTGGAGAAACCAAGGTTCAGAGAAGTTTAAGCAGCTTTCCTAAGTTCCCATAGCTAGCAGCTGGGATAGCCAGGATTTCAACACAAGTCTGAATCCAAAGTCCACACCCCTAATCACCAAGCTGTACTGCCTTGCTCAGAATAGGCCCTCAGATGTTTGTTGAGTGAATACAATGGTATTCAGAGTCAGCTTTGTTGTGCTTTTCATCCAATCGCAGTTTCCTTTCATAATCTTCTCTCATAGTTTTTTCACCTGCATGTGGACCTGGTGTGCCTGAAATAAGTGTTTAGCTTTGATGCGTGTTAGGGTGAGAAAATACAGTGTTTCAGTTATCTATTGCTATGTAACAGATTACTCCAAAACTTGGTGTCTTAAACCAACAACAGCCTTTTAATTCTCACCATTCTGTGGGTCGACTGGGCTCATCTGGGCAGTTTTTGTGCTCCATGTATAGCTGAGGTCATATGTAGTTGCATTCAGTTAGGATCTGCTATGAATTCTTGTAAAATACTTAGCAAAGTGCCTAACACATAGTAAGTGTGCTGTAGATTAGAGAAGAGTACACAGAAGAAAGAGTAGTAGAACCTTGCCCAAGAACTGAGGAGGACATTTTGAAAGGCAGGGCTGGGGAAAGGTGAGGTGTGTATCCCAAACTGAAAGCCTAGCGGAGGGACAGTATTAACATGGGCAACATTACACTTCCACACACCTATTCACAAAGCAACCCTTGGGTGATCCCTGGGTGGGGTTGTGTGACTATCAGATGACAGTAAATCCATTTGCTGTGAGAATTTTCCTCTTTTGTTATTTAAAGCCATAAATTGGAAGTCAGTAGACCAGGATTCCAGTCATTATGCTTTCACCATTACATTGTGTGGCCTTGGGAAACAGCTTCCGCTTGCCTATACTGTGCCTTTGTGCAAATTAGAAGAAGATGCCATCTTGGAGGTTGTGGTGTAATGAGTTCCTTTATGTGTCCTTTTGCTTTGGTTCTTTAGAAATACATTTTGAGAGATTTTTCCCGTAAGCCCTGAGGAATTACCTTTGTCCTGGTTTTCTACCCTAGAGAGTTTTTTACTTTTGCCAGGTTAATTTGACATTTCTTGGGTAATCTGTAAACAACTCGATGGTTTGATAGTTTTTATCTGGCTCTGGGCTGCAGCCTGCCCTGTGATTGGTTTATTTTATGCACCTTGCAGGGATTGGTCAATATACTTGTGCAAATGAAGTAACTATAGTCTACTATGCAAATGAAGTGACTGTGGCCTACCAAGAGGGGATTGGTCAGTTTATGGCACTGATGGGAAGGCCATGCCTTGAAATTTACCAGGAGCTTGCTGTATATGTAGTCAACATCACAGAGGTTTGCAGACAGAAGGAAGAAAGGAGAAAAGGCAAGAGAGGCAGGAAGAGAGAAGCAGCAGAAAGGGAGGAGGTGAGGAACCTCCTAATAGAGCTGTAGCATGGATCAAGGCCTGTAACACTGAAGACAGTGAGAAGTCCAGAAGGGGCCGTGCAGCGGAGTCGGTGGTGACAGTAGAAACCTGCTGCTAGGAGTGCAGCTAGGAGAGCTGAACAGAGCTGCTACACTGGCTGTGAGCTGGGTCAGTTAGCAGTGGGGGGACCAATGGCAGGGGGGCCGAAGGCAGGGAGGCCTGCCCGGAGGGGGTGAGAGGAAGCCTGCATGGCTGACAGGGGCCTCGCACAGCAGAGAGAAGGGCTTGCTTGCCTGCACAGCTGAGAGGAGCTGAGAGAGCTGTCCAGCACTGAAGAAGAGAAGGATGTTCTCTCCTCTTCAGGGGAGACTTCCAGACTTTGCCTGCGTGCTTCCTGATCCTGATCCTGAGTTCTGCCTTGTTACTTACCTAATAAACCATTTAACTACAAGTATGGTCTGTGAGTTCTGTGTGGCCATTGCACTGAATTATTGAACCCAGCAAAGAAGTAGAGAGTGTCATGTGCTGGGGGGTAAGGATGGTGGTAGGGGGTGGCGGTGGGGTAAGGGGAGTGGGGGATGGGAGGAGCTGGTGTCAGAATGGTAAAGCAGTTGGAGAGTGGAGGTATGTCTGACCTCCACCTCACAGTAGTCAGCTTTAGGCCGAGCCTGCTTCTTATACCTAAGGAATCTAGACAAGTTCTGATGCTGCCGCCGCTGGTTTACAGAGATCCTCCACACAGCCTCACAGCTTGCCAAATCTAA